GACACCATCAAAAGTCTCAAGCTTTATAAGCTTGATACCCTGATATTATTGAGTGGAGATAAGAAAGAAAAAGAAGAATACTTCTCCCTGGAAACCTGATATCTTTAAAAATACGATTATATTTTTATTGATGATGACCCGAAACTGGAGAAGGGGCACTTCAACACTATCCTCTACAAAAAAATAAGGTCAAGTTGACCGCTATAAGTGGCGTGTACTCCATCATACCAATGGCATCAATAGCCGATCATTACAAGAAACACCATCCTCTTCGCTGGGTGAAAGTATTACATTAGATATGAATGTCACCAAGATTTCTTCATTTTGGTGAATATCGACTTAAAGTTTTGGCATCCCATGAGAGCATGGCATCCTCAGTTTACCATTCAAGTGAGCAATTCCTTGCTTTATAATAATCGGTTTGAGATATTTAATGGGGAAAGTTGTCGCATTTTCTGAAATTTGGCTTATATTATCCTCTTCATGAGTTGATGATTGCACATGCAACCAAGGTATTTTAGAATTATACAGAGTGTGTAATAGAATGGATGTGGTTAAAAGGAATTTAATTTAAAATGAGAATTTTTCAAAACAATCAACAATGGTTTTAGCTGCTAGGATATGAGGTCACAATTTGATGATTCTGCTTTTGCCTTTTAAAACGATTCACACCGAAGCCGTCTGTTGAAAAAGTCTCATTCTCTGCCATAGAAGACGGCGGAACTGTGCTCACACCTAAGCCGTGCATTGAACAAGTCTCATTCTCTACCATAGAAGACGGCGGAACTGTGCTCACACCGAAGCCGTGCATTGAACAAGTCTCATTCTCTGCTATAGAAGACGGCGGAACTGTGCTCACACCGAAGCCGTCCGTTGAACAAGTCTCATTCTCTGCCATAGTAGACGGCGGAACTGTGCTCACACCGAAGCCGTCAATCGAACAAGTCTCATTCTCTGCCATAGAAGACGGCGGGAACTGTGCTCACACCGAAGCCGTGCATTGAACAAGTCTCATTCTCTGCCATAGAAGACGGCGGAACTGCGCTCACACCGAAGCCGTCCGTTGAACAAGTCTCATTCTCTGCCATAGAAGACGGCGGAACTGTGCTCACACCGAAGCCGTGCATTGAACAATTCTCATTCTCTACCATAGAAGACGGCGGAACTGTGCTCACACCGAAGCCGTCCGTTGAACAAGTCTCATTCTCTGCCATAAAAGACGGCGGAACTGTGCTCACACCGAAGCCGTGCATTGAACAAGTCTCATTCTCTGCCATAGAAGACGGCGGAACTGTGCTCACACCGAAGCCGTGCATTGAACAAGTCTCATTCTCTGCCATAGTAGACGGCGGAACTGTGCTCACACCGAAGCCGTCAATTGAACAAGTCTCATTCTCTGCCATAGTAGACGGCGGAACTGTGCTCACACCGAAGCCGTCAATCGAACAAGTCTCATTCTCTGCCATAGAAGACGGCGGAACTGTGCTCACACCGAAGCCGTGCATT